TTCCAGCAGGTGCTGCTTCTCACCAATAGATGGAGCCTCCTCAATAGTGCTACTAGTGGCTGCTCTTATCAGCATCCCTAGCAGCCGTTCAGGCAGTTTCTTCAAAAAAAAAAAAAAAAAAAAAAAAAGGTTTTCGCAGTGGTATGGAGGGGGCAACCAAAGAAAAAATGAGGGGAGAAATAAAATTTCAGGTGGTGGTGGTGATAGAAATGGCGGAACGAATTGCAAAAAGAAAGTGAGAAAATGGTAAAAAAGTTGAAGAGAAAGTGTGAACGAAGAAGTGAAGCAGAGAGAATGAAGGGGAAGGAGAAAAGGAAGGTGAGAGAGAGCAGGGAGAAGAAGGAAAAAAAAGGAAAAGGAGATAAAGAAGGAGAAGGATTGGTTGGCAAGCGGGAAAAGGGAGAATGTATTTGTCTCATCAATGATGTACACCATACTTTCTCTTATTTCTTAACTGTTTACAAGTTCATTCCTGACATTGTTAGGGTATATTATTGTTGTTGTTGTTGTTATTATTATTATAATTATAATTGTTGTTATTATTATTATTATTATTATTATTATTATTATTATTATTATTATTATTATAATTAACATTAAAAATAATTATTGTTATTTACTTTATTATTATTATTTTATTTTATTTTTATTATTTTTATTTGATATTGTATACCATGGAAGGATTAGAGATGGAAGGACGTGGTGCATTGGAGAGGAGAGAGTCACCATCAACCTAGTATAATGGTGTCTACGCCCTCCATCCTCCTCCCTTTGTGTCCGATCCTCTTACATCTTCATCCTTTAGTTATAATGAAAATATTATATATATTTTTAAATACCATGAAAGGGTTCTAGTCTGAACTCATATATAAATACCTACCTAGTTAGACACACATTAAAATACAGGATGATTGCCAGAGGTCTATCAGGGTTCAAAGGAACTTTGGAGGTAGGGAATAAAAAAGGTACGAGCAACCGAACCTACCTCTTACTCAAAAATACCAAAATACAGGGAAAATGCGGGGAGATTTTAACAGAGTTCTGGACTCTGAAGGCAGGGAGACCATAAGATGCGTATACCTTGCCCTTTTCCCATATATCACCTCCTGCTAGTTGGACCTACGCAGATGTAAATGTATAATATTATATATATATAAGAGGATTCTGCAGACTGTTGAGGGTTCAGCCTCCTGATGAGTCGGTGAAACTCCGACGAAACAGTTTGTCACAGCCCCTCGTTTGTTGTCCTCTTCTCTCTCTCTGCCTACGGTTTACCGGGCAGTTCTGTTTGTGACGATATATATATATATATATATATATATATATATATATATATATATATATATATATATATATATATATATGTATACTTATCCTTTTGATGAATCGGTAAAAATCTGATGAAATATTCTTATCACAACCCCTTGTTTGTTGTCCTCTTCTCCCTCTCTGCCTATGGTTCATCAGGCAGCTCTGTTTAATGATGTATATATATATATATATTATTTATATATATATATATTAGATATATATATATATATATGCTATGTATCGGATTGCGTGTATGATTATATGACATATGAATTTGTGGTTTTCTTCAAGACAAGGATTATCAAGAAGAAAGAAGTATATGTGTGAAGTAAGAACTTTGGTTGAGGGAAAAAAAGAACTTAGGTGAATAAAGAAAGAACATAGTTTGCTTAACGATGGAGAACAAAGCAGTAGGATGGAGGCTTCAGTGTGAGTCGTCATACTGCTTGCATGCATGTATATTGTTCAGTGAAGAACAAATAGTGGAACAACTCCAATGTAAGTTGTTTTACTGTTTGCTTGCGTGTCCAACCGGTAGTAGGAGGCTTCAGTGCGGGTCGTCCTAATATTTGTTTGACCCTATGATAATTAGCACTAAAAAGTGAATGGAATGTATGCAATTGGAGAATAGTAAGATACTTCAGTACGACTGATTTTGCTACTTGTTTGTGTATGTTCAACGTCTGCATAAATATATGAAGTCTGATTGATTACTGACTACATACAAAATGTTTGTCTACGCACTAAATGAGTAGTAGTATACTCCAGTGAGGGTCATCTTAGTACTTGTTCAAAGTTTAGATGGTGCGATTTCAAAACTATAGTAGGGGACTTCAGTGAGAGTTGTCATATTACTAGTCTGAACCTAAACTAAGTAGTTTGCAACAGTACTAGTATAATACTCCAATGTGAGTTATCCTAATATTTGCTTTCTTCTATTTACCATATATGCGGCGCCTCACACGTGCGGCGCAAGCCACACAACACAGGGTGCGCGCACACCGTAGGCACCGCACCACCGAAAATACAGCCCTCACCCAAAAAATAAATTGGGCCGTCAGGGAATACCGGTTCCCCCACCGCAGGGAAAAACATTTCAAACGTCGTGCAATTTTTTTTAGGTCCCCCACCCAGGCCCGAAAGCCGGGGAAAAAAATTGGCGGCCTTCTTTCTCTTGGCACTCACGAGCCAACTTCGAATTCAAAGTAGCCTTTCGAAGTTGGCTCGTCGGCTTCGTCATCAAGCCGCCTCGTGATGCTGCCCACGTGCCGCAATGCCATTGTCATTGCCTGGAAGACTGTATGGAGGAAGAGGGAGACGAGGGGTATGAAGGAGAGTGGAGGAGGGGTGGAGGGAGAGTGAAGAGACACTGTCAGTGGTGTAGGGAGAGTGGAGCGGTGCAGGGAGACGTCGACGTGTAGAGCGCATGAGCTCACACCAAGGAGAGCAGCAGAGGGCAGCGTCGATCAGGTGGGTGGCCACCAGCCTCTCTCTCTCTCTCTCTCTCTCTCTCTCTCTCTCGTCATCCCACCTTTTTTTTTTTTTTTTTTTTTTTT